AATGACATGCTTGTAACACTTAATTTATAACTAACATCTTATTTCATTATATTTATACAGCTACAACTCATCCAGGGATACAACAGTTACTAAAGAGAGGTTCAATGACATGCTTGTAACACTTAAATTTATAAATAACATCCCCCCTGGAGGTGAATGGGGCTGGTGGTGGGTCAGAGAAGGTCGAGATGCACGACTTGACTAAAACAAAGAGGCAAGCGAAACTGACCTTGTTCAAAGCACGCGCGATTATGCAAATGTGCTGCATCATAAATACAGCTTAATGTAAACATTAATCTCCCATTTATGACACCACACAAACAATGTAAATGATAAAACGTAATTTATTTTGGCAAAAAGAGGGGCACGCTGTGGGACACCTCCGTACTTAGCCCGCACAAACGGAAAGCAAGAACTTAGTCCCACAGCAGGCCCCTAAAACAGAAATCGTAATAAAAAGATTGCTAGCTACTTAAAGCAAATGAAAATTGCACTAAAATAAATGACCTAAGAAAAGAACTAAGAAAATACAAAGCATAAAAAATCTGCAAAATGCCAATTGGTTGATAAAATGTACTGGTATTAGTCGTTAGCGGATGAAATGAAGGTAGGAAACTACCAGTTGTTAATGTAGAGACTGCGGAGGCTGTCACTACGTGAAGTTACCGTGTTATTGGTAAATGCTGCGGAAGCTGCAAATTACCGGTAGAGACAGCGGAGGCTGTAACTACGCTAGTGATGGAGGCAGCGGATGCTACCCCAGTAATGGTAGAGACAGCGGGAGCTGAAACTACGAGCATGGTAGGTTAATGCAGGTTATAACTGTAAATAATACCCAGTAAATAGCATCTCCCCATCTTGGGGGGAAATGAGTAAATGAAAGTGAAACGAAGCCCCCAAAATGCTGCAATGATAAATAAATTGCAGCAATGACCCCCAAGATAAATATAAAAAAAAAAAAAAAAAGCAATGTGCACTTAATTAAAAACTCTGAATTAAAGAGGCATGTGCAGAACTCAAGGTAACCTCAGAGGTATGTATATACCTGTAGTAAGTATCTGAATTCCAGCGCCCAAGTGTTTTGATCATGTGATCAGGAATACCAGCTGTAGCCGCTGAGGTAGCCGCCCCGATGCGGAAAGAGTGACCAGAGTACCTGCTTGAATCAATCCCTAAAACACTCAAAATTCTATGCAGGTAAGTTAGGAAGGTTGACCGAGTCAGTGGGCGATTATCTTTACTCACAAACAAAGGGTCCCCGAACGTTGGTTTTGGCACCATCGCCTGTCTTAAAGACAAGTACTGAAGGATGGTAGCCACAGGGCACATACGGTGGTTTTGGAAAAATTTGATTAAAACACCTTTACGAAAAGGATCAGTCTTGGATGATTTGAGTCTCAGAAAAGCCTGGGTGTCACCCTCAAAACTGATGTCCTCAATGCATAAATGAGCAGACCTGTCAAAACGATTGGAATTAATGGTGAACTCCCCACACCGGAGGAAGCCAAAGAAAGCCAGCAAAATAACAGACTGCATGAGGACATCAGTAAAAGGATCAAATACATCAGCTTTTAAAGTAGAATACATGAGGAAAATAAGATCCGCTGTAAAGGGAAGACGAATTCTCCGACTCTGTCCTTGTAAACGTTTGATGGCCCTAAGCAATAGATTTACCCGTAACAGTCCTTTGCTGTGTTGCCAAGGATGTGGCTGTCCCATTTCAATGTACCTAAAGCGTATCCCAGCGAGATAAAGTCTAATTGTAGACTCACTTAATTGTAAATGTTTGAAACAATGAGTTATAAAAAGTACAAGTAACTCTTCAGAAATTGCTGGCAAGTTAACAGCTGAACATGAGATCTGGTGCATGTTAACAAAATTAACAAAAAGAGCCAAACCAGATCTATATGCTTGTCTAGTGTTTGGTGATACAACAGAATTCCACAAGCAGTGCATTTCTTGTTCTAAATAAGAGTCACTTTGCAATATGGTGGACACAGTGATTTGTTCTTTTGAGCCTTGGGTGCCAGACTCCGGAACTTCTGGAAATGAAATCGAGATAAAGCATCAGCGATTGTATTCTCTGTACCTGGGAGAAACTGAGCTGTGACAATAAAATTGTGCTGCATAGATGTTAGAGTGAGACGCCTCATTAAAGAATTAATAGCGTGACAACGTGAA